AAAAAAGACACAATGCATCCAGCGAATTCCCAACAGAGAGAGGGTTTGTGTGTGATAAACGCGTATTGAATCGCCTGGGGTAGGTTTATGACTAATAGTCCAGTCTCATACAGACTTCTCAGAACAGGGGGCAGTCTTCCTTCTCTAATTCTCCCGCAAATCTCTCGTGAGTCTCTCTGACGACGGTCTCGTTCCCCGACTCTCTCTCCCGTCTCTCTCTCCCGTCTGGCCTCTTCCGTCTTGCTCGATCGTCTGCTTCCTCATCAGCATAACTACGCTGGTTTATATAGATGAATCTGGTTGATCATGAATCGACCCTTGGCCCGGCATGCGATTATCATGAGTGCCAAAATGTATCCCTTGACATGTAAACCGATTCTCCAACTATTTATCTTATCTCAATCACAAGTTCTCGCTTCCCCAAAATTATACTTTGGGATATCTAAACATTGATTCAGCCTTTTAATCAAAACAAATACTGTTAAACAAAACCAAATATCTAGTAGCCTGAGTAAGCTCTATTTCAATTTTTAACCGATAAATTTTATTTAGATCATTTTTTCATTGTTTTTTTCTAATGACCCAGATTTAAAACATCGCCTCCTGTCCTGAGATCGTGTTTCTCATCGGTAAACACACATCTTAACCCAAATTGTACTTTGATATATAAACACCATTTCCACTTCCAGTCAATAAAAGTTATATTTGCGTGTATGCATTCATGTGTGTGTGTGTGTGTGCCTCTCTATGTTACAGTAGCCCAACGTCTCATACCATTTTTGGAATCAAGCCAACCCCGTGAGCAAATTAAATACATTCCGGACAGGATTCGAACCCGCAATCCTGAAATTTTGGATTCCCAAATTTTCATTACTGCCATTGTTTTCGGCGATTTTTTTTACGTGATTTTTTGCGACGAACTTTTTGTACAATAACGATTTTTATAACTTGGAAATAAATTTGGGAATAATCAAAATTTTATTGCGAAATCCAGCAAAAGTCAGCCATGAAATAAAAATAAGTATATACGTACATCAAATTATCTTTAAATTAAATGGCGGCAGAAGAATTATTGAACATTTAAAAGTTAAGCTTAAATATTAATGCAATACTTAAATGCAGCAATGAATTTTGAGTTCTTCTGCAGTTTATGATTGGAGAGAGGGATTTGATTTTACGACATGTCAACCCCTGTTAGCCTATCGCATCTATTCCTCTTTACCTATTGTGATGAAGGTCCAATCAAGAGCCCTCTGCAGGATCTAGTTTAAATGCCGCCCGATAGATCGGCTTTTAAGCTAATATAGTAATATATGGGTGTTATACTGAAAAGACAAAGGTTACTATGAGCGACAAAGGATAGGAATTTATGGAGAGACTTGATTAACCACGTCCTGAAGGGATAAGTCACACACAAGAAGAAATAATTAATAACATTTTAGTTGTTGCTGTTGAAAGTGTTCAAACGAGGTGTTTTCTGTTATTTTATAATGCCCTTTGTCTTTGATTACGGTGGAGTAATGGATAGCGGCTCGGATTGAGAAAATGGAGAATCGAGTTCAAATTCCAGTCGGATCCATTACATTCACTTACGTGCTAATACCCTTGGGAAAGGTATAAATCCTATTCTTCTCTCCCCAGCTATGGGTAAATAGCAGGAAAGACCGAGTTCTATAGATTTGGGAGGCAACTGGTCTACTGCAGAAAGAAATAGCACCTTACTGCGGGGAAAAAATCTGCCGTGTCAATCATGTATGGAAAGATATTTCATCGCCTAAGCGTGTATCACGCATGGCACATAACTGACTGAGAGCCACTCTAATGAAGGATTGTTTTCTTTATTACTCAGGGATTCATTGGCTTGAAGCCAATTTTAATCATTGATCTGAGAAATAATAATAATAATAAAATAATAATAATAATAATAACTAGTTGTACCCGTGAAGATTTCACGGTTTTCCCGATTTAATTTTGTTTTCTTTCTTTTAATTAATTAGTTAATTAATTAATTTCTTTAGTCCTGGGTATGACGATAAACTACATCCGGCAACAATGCCTCTGATTGGGGGATTGAAGGTTTTGAGGAGCATGGAACCACCTCTTAATTGCTGTTGTTTCCTTGTCCACCCTCGCCCAGGGTAGTAGCAACTGTTCGGGTCCTAGTTATGGACAAATATTAAACCCCTAAACAAAAACAAAACACTATGAAAGTATAAGTTTGTATTTTTATAGTAAAAAAGCTAGCAATCCTTTTTCATATAAAAAATTACCAACAATACCTATTTAGAGTAAAATGATCAACAATGCATTTTGTCTGTAGTTGAAGGAATGCATTTGCATTCAAAATATATTTAGTAGAAGCCATAAAATAGTTTTATATTTAGATTTTGGCATTAAATAACTTATGGAGGCTGATATGCCGCTAAACAAAATCAACTAAACAAGCAACCAAACAACCAACTGTCTTTTTTTTCCCTTTTTTCTCAATAAATTCCAACTGTGTCTCTAATGTGGCTTTTCCGTCTTTCCACGAAATCCAAACGTAATAGTTCATTATTTATGAGGTATGCGTAAGGGATAATATAAGTACGTACGTACTAAGTAATCAAGGGAGAGATTATTATTATTATTATTATTAGAATAATAATAATAATAATAATAATTAGTGAAAATAAAGTAAATCAATGTGCCGTTTTTTATTGAATTGGTTGACACAATTAATGGAAAGGATATGGTTAACGAACAGTAGTAAGGACATTGATATTTGGTTGGAAATTTTAGTTGTAAGTCACCATGATTTATTTATCGACCCACTTTTGACTCCACAGGGATGTATTGACATTTACAAAGTGCTCCTAGATGTCACTATAGATCAATTTGGAGACCCCTGCTTTAAATCCTTTAATTGGGAAAAAAATCATAGTGCAATTTGCCGGTCAATCATCACAGGTCGTTGTTTTCACCTGACTGACTTGAATTTCTTTTTTTTTTTTTTTTTTTTTTTTTCATTTTCATTCACAAGGAGGAACAAAGAATGAAACTATTTGTCTAACACTCTGAGTTGAAATATTGTCATATCCTCAGAATTAGTTCTACTACGATACTCATCTTTGTTATTTTGATACCTACGTAATTTTGCGTCCTGTCACTGGATCTAACCAACGACTTTATCCACTGTGCCAAAGAGTGTGAGTTCAATACCCGGTTAAGGCAGTGGAGAACTTGGAGAGGTGAATTAACAGGAGATAACTGATAACTGACACCGATTAAAAATGGCACGTGGAACTAGAACAGTCTACCCCAGTGAGCGAAATAAAGGGTTCAGTTCGACATTCCAACCACCTGAAGAAGGCCGAAGCGTACAACGGCCGAAATGTAATAAATATGGCGACAAATATGAGGACAATAGTCCGAATAATGTAAATAGTGTACGTAATACCTCATCTCAGAAATATAGACAGATATCTATTGTTTTAGGTAGATGTGTTCTCCGGGCTTCCCAATGATGTCTAATATTTTGCAATGAAATATCATAATTAATTATGTAAATATTTCAGTCATGGTGAAAAAAAAATCCGCCTACTGGAAATGCCTGAGCATGAACCAAAACATTATTACCGTTTCGATCGCTATAAAATGCGTTGGTGGGGAGGATTTTCTTTAATGAAAACTAGATTCAAGGGTACAGCCGGATTTTGACCTTTTGGAGGCCCATAGACTAATGAAATTATGCCCCGTCTAAGATGGAGTCACCCTCTATATTGTGATATATTTTAGCGACATTTACATAGCTTGAAGTAAACTTATTGCGAATTCTTTCAATAGGCTATACTAGCTATCTTTTGTTTGTCAATAAAAAATATTCTTTAAGAAATACTAGTATTTTACTATTTATTGTAAACTGTATAAACATATTTCAACACAATCGTAATAACACAATCGTAATTCCTGCAAAGTCAAATAAATATGAGTTTGCCATATGGATATCATTTCAGTTTATGAAAATATTTAGTATTTAGATTTTATAACATCTAGAAAATTAAAAGCATTGCTTTATAAAAAAACTTCAGGGGCCCTAGACTGAAGTCTATATCAGCCTAAAGGATAACCCGGCCCTGGGTACCGTGAAATTTTTCACAATAAAACCTGCGGAACTTTTACTCAAAGAGCTGCTTGATAAATAACAATAATTCATTGCAAATAATAGTGAATTTATAATTGAATAAAATGTAATTGTACTTTTTAAGAATAAAGTTAAAAACTAAAAAGGAAATTATTTATGACTTAACCTAAGATTGTACAGCTGAAGAATCAAGCGGCCAAAATCTTGATAAAAAAAGATAAAGAAACTAGCCCAAACAATAATAAAATACGCGTTGTGGTTTAATGGATATCGACTCGGAGTGAGAACTCGGAGAACCGAGTTCGAATTCCAGTTGAGTTCATTAGATTCACTTATGCACAAATACCCTTGGGAAAGGTAGGAATCCATCTCAGCTATGTTCTTCTACTTCAGCCTTGGTTGACAACCAATCTACCACAGAAAGAAATACGGGAAAAAAATCTCCTTCGTCGAAAGATACATGATCGTCCAATCGTGTATCACGTATGGCACTTAACTGACTGAATAATAATAATAAAAAAATGTGAAAATGCTTTAGAATTTCAAAACAAGCATTTTTGTGCAAGAAAAATAAATATTTTTAATTGATTTCTCATCAGAATCACTTTTTTCTGTGGCGTCCCAGTGATAAGACTATAGTAGTAATGACTGGCTATAGGACTCGGTGCAATTGTTTGATTGCGTTTCCAGTGTTGGTAACCTCTCCTCCATCTTACACACTTCAGAATACACATACACGCTTCTACAAATATACACGCAGACATAAATTTCCAGAGTAAATCACACACCAATTTTAATACATTTCATACACAGCAGAGACAAGACACGTAGATTAAAAATATAGAGAAAAAAGAACTGTGCTTGTCCCCACCCCGATTCATTCATATGTCGGACCTTGTGAACCGCAGGGTGTCAACACATGATAAATGCCAGTGTTACATACTTGAGACCAGGGGGTGGGGAAGGCCATAGATGGGGTAGCGAAAAAAAGAGTGAAGGGGCGCGAGGGTTTTTGAGGGTCCAGACGAAAAATATGGTGGAAATCGAGTAAGAGTTCATTTTGTAAATGTTGACACTTGTCTGCCATCAACGTTTTTGAGGGTGAATGAGTGGAATCGCCAAAAGAAAGAAAGAAAGAAAGAAAGAAAGAAAGAAAGAAAGAAAGAAAGAAAAGGGTGAGAAAGAGAAAGAGATTAAAAAGGAAAAAAAACGAAATTAAAAGAATGAAAAGAAGGAACTGTGAGAGAGTCTGGAAAGGGATTAGAATAAAGATTAAAAGAAAGAAAGAAAGAAAGAAAGAAAGAAAGAAAGAAAGAAAGAAAGAAAGAAAGAAAAAGAAAGAAACCAACAAACAAACAAACAAACAAACGAACAAAGAAACAAAAGTAAAACTAGGAGAATGCGAGGGATTGGAGAATAAAACATACAAGAAAGAAAGAAAGAAAGAAAGAAAGAAAGAAAGAAAGAAAGAAAGAAAGAAAGAAAGAAAGAAAGTGAAAGAGAAATAGTGAGAGGAAGATCGAAAGAAATGTAATAAATACAAAGATAGACGAGAATAAACAAATAAAATGGGAAAAAAAGCAAGAAAACGAGAAAAAGAGTAACTGCAGAATGAAACAGAAAAGTGAAAAAGAAAGAGAATGCAAGAAATAGGATATTTTGAAAGGAAAGAAAGAAAATGGAAGATAAAAAAAAAAGAAATGGAGAATTAGGGAAAAAGATGTAGAAAAAAATAGAAAGTCAACAGTGAAACTAAAGAGACATAAAGAAAGACAGAGATTGAAACGATAAAATTAGAGAAGGGAATAAATACAAGTGAATGACGCGTAGAAAAGAAAGACAGAGAGGAAGATTAATGAGAGGAGCTGGGGGGGAGGGGGAGAAAGAAAGAAAAAAAGAAAGAAAATCCAAAAGAAAAAAAAAATGACAGAAAAGAAAGATGTAAAAATAGAAAAGATATAAAGATAAAAAAAAAAAGTTGCTTTCGTTTTCGTATACAGTGTAACCCGGATATAAGAGAGTTGTCGGGACCGGAGAAGTCTCTTATATCCGGGTTTGGTCTATTTTATATACATTAACACAGGCTCTAATTTGGGACCAGATAAAATCTCTCTTATATCCGGGTTTCTCTTATATCCGGGTCTCTTATATCCGGGTTACACTGTATATATTCTATGCACTTAATATCTATAAAGCTGCACTTCTTTGGAATTTAAAGAAAAAAATTTTTTCATGAAAACATAACATCCGATAATGTTTCTTTGTTTTGGTTAAGTTAAGGAAGAGTTAAACTTAGGTATGCTATAATCTTCCTTAACGTCGATTTATCGCGCCATTTTGAATCCTGCATTTCTAAAGGCGGAAAGCATTAGAACCATTAACGTGGTTGTTAATTATTACACATTTTTAGCTAATTGATCATCATTAATTAATAGTAAAGATATAATGAATAATCAAACAGAAAACACATTCAAGACAGAAACGATATTTTACTATAGTGTATTAAAGAAAGAATTGAAATTTGCCAAACAAAAATACAAATTATTTTCAATATAAAATCGTCTTTTAAAGAATATTTTTATCTTATCTGAACGATCTTTAAACCTTTCGGCAGATGTATACCACTATTCGTTTGATTCATTGAAAGCCGATTATCATTATTATAATTTACTATACTTTATGCATTTAAGGGTTGTACTAGAGTGGAAGCTGGGTTTTAACGTTTTATAGTTAAAATTTCTAATTGTAATCATAAGTTCTATGTTAACAGTTTCTTCTGTCGCTTGTGAAATTATCTTCCTGTTTCTTGCTTTCCAGTCAATTTTGATCTTCAAAAATTTAAATGCAGTGTCAGTTTTTATCTTGTCTTCTTAATTCTTGTTCTCTCTCCTTAATTCTTGTTCTCTCTCATTGATAATATTTTTTCTCAGATTCTTTCACACTCAGTAACCCCTTGCGTCTTAGTAGTTTTAACGCTTTGCCTGGGGTGAAATGATTAAAAAATACTGTTGATTCATTGAATTGAGTGTTTTCTTTTAAATTCTATTCTGTTTGTTCCTTGTTCTATCATTGAACTGATAGACGAAAGGTCATGAAAGAGACGTCTATTATTGTATACAATCCCTTTGTCTCACCTAGCGAATCGAACTTGTATCGATTTCCCAGGCGGTCGGTAGTAATTGTTACGGTTATGTCGCCCTTAGAAAACATCCCCAAATATAAGTCTATCGAGAGAGTTGTCGACACCTCATAAAAACACACACCTCCGTGTGAAAAAAACTTTTCTGCCATATTTTAAGCTAAAAGTAATATTTGTTTCAAATCAGATTAATTAAATGTTCAGAAAAATATATTTTATTTTTGAATTTTTTTAATGGTGAGAATTACGTTGTGTTGACAGATTTGTCAATATGGACGATTTTAGCGTTTTTACTGAGAATAAAAATCTATTCCAACCAATTTAAAGTATTTTGTTTAATGGAAATATTGAATCTATTAGCTTGAAATTAAAACTAAAATAAAAGCTTCAAGAAAGATTTTTGATTTTTAAAAATGCATTTTAGACAAGAGGTATCACTTTTCTTTGGAGGTACCTAGAATACTTTATATCGTCTATGTTCATGTCTTTGGGCAGGAAGCAGTAAAATCTAAAGCAATCCTAGCTCTGAGGTAACACCTTAGCATTGCCCAAAAGCAGGAAATCGGTGAATTCTATTGCCTTCGTGACACTGGTCGGCAGGACTGAGCGAGTGTTGTCCTTGCCGACTCGAAAATATTTGGGTTCTTATGTTAAACTAACCATGTGTCACATTCTAACGCCGTAAGCAGGTAGTTAAATACTGCGAAGTCTTCAATTAGTATCATTGTAAGTACTTCCCCAGCCTCCACCTGTCATTCGGTAGACTGAGATTCGGCAAATCCACCCGAGGGAAGTAATTTCACTTTTAACCTTTACTAGCTTTGTGTATGCTTGTGTAGAGGTTGACGCAAACGTTCATAGCGTATCCTTTTGTAATGTATTAGGGAAATCTTAGAATTGTCTAATAAGTTTATTCAGCTTTTTATTGATTATGTGTGTATTCCTATGAAAAATATGTTTGCGGAAATGTTGCACACACACACACACACACACACTAACATAGACACAAATATATACTTACCTAATAATATATATACAGTGTAACCCGGATATAAGAGACCCGGATATAAGAGAAACCCGGATATTAGAGCCTGTGTTAATGTAAACAAAATACACCAAACCCGGATATAAGAGACTTCTTCTCCGGTCCCAACAACTCTCTTATATCCGGGTTGCACTGTGTATATATATATATATATATATATATATACGTGTGTGTGTGTGTGTGTGTGTGTGTGCGGTGCCCGGAAAATTCAGTAACGGAAAATTCGGTAATTTTGACAAGGTAGGAAAATTCGGTAACTCTGAAATAAAAGTTGATTGTAAATTGATTTTTAGGGCCATTCTGGAGTTGCGATTTGTGGGCTATGCCCCCTCCCCTATATTTTTGAAATAAAAATGAGACTATATAGTTTTGCTTCTTTATAAAGAAATAACCATCTAAAACTTAAATTATTTAGTACTTTTTTTTATTAAAATAATAATCTGAAAAGAAGATATAAGAACTTTAACTTAGATAAATCAACTCTATTTTCTTGAAAACAATAGTAATTAAATAAATGCTTATTTAAAATATCGGAGTCGCTTAATTTATTAAACACTATATTTATTTATTTTATTAATTATTAATTGCTGTCGAACCGTCTGAATATTCGAGAAATCTTATTAAAGAAAAATGTGTGCCCTTCGGCAAGATGAGAACATGCGTCCACTCTCCAGCAGATACAGCCGTTAGATCCGACGTGCTTATATCGACTCAGCCACGAAGAACATTTGCCGATCAAGCAAGGTTAAATAGTGGCTTTAAGCGAAATCCTTCTCGTCATAGACTTTCGAATTTACACACACACACACACACACACACACACACACACACACACACACACACACTTAAATTTACCATTTCCAACTTCTAGAAGATCATATATATATATATATATATATATATATATATATATATATATATATATATATATATATATATATATATATATATATTTGTTTGAATAAAAGACAGACCACGTTAAGATTCCATGTAATAAGCTATTTCACCATAATAAATATCTTTAATAATATATATATATAAGTTGCAGCTGAAGTACCCCACACATATATCTACCAGAAATACATCGCACAAGACATTAATGACAATGTTGTCTATCTTTCTAATGTCATATCATTTAAGAACTATTTCTTGGAGGTATTTCTGCTGCACCCTAAAGCGAGAGAGAGAGAAAGCGAGAGAGGTAATATATGAAATCAAATGTTTATGTGTAGTAAGAATCTAAATATATTATATAGAATAGCCATTTATACAGGCACCTACAATTTTCGCTAAAAATGAACATACCATGATGAAAAAAGTCCCCAAACTTGATAAAAACGAAGTTCTATCTTCAAGGTGTTTAGGCTATTAAGATGAAAGACCGAAGTATTTTTGATTATTTAATGCATAAATAACCATCTAAACGTCGTTTTATCTAAATTATCCTTTCTATCATGTTCGAACTTTTCGCTAAATTTTTTGTTTTTTTTTGTTTTTTGTTTGTTTTTTTTTTGGTTTTTGGTTTTTTGTTTTTTTGCGTCAGTGCTGGCCCAAAGTTTATTATTGGACTTTTAGCGGGTTTTTTCTGTAAAAAAATACATTGCTTAAGTTTGTTTTGTTTTGTTTTATGGCATATCGACCTCAATGGGTTATTTAATCCCGATAAGATTTTTATTGCTGGTAATATTTTTTTTAAATATATTGTTAGTAATATTTTTTTTTTTAAATGTATGGCTAGTAATTTTTTTCTAAAAATGTATTGCTGGTATTAAAACCTATTTTTATACTTTAATAGTGTATTGACCCTTTGGGGGGGGTAACTTTTTCCCCATAACTGGGGCCCTGACAAGTGCTACCACCCCGGGTCAGGTTGGACCTGGGAAAACCAGCAATTAAGAGGTGGTTCCACGCTCCTCAAAACCTTCTGATCAAAGGCCTTAGTTTAACATTTAAGCCAGGATGGGGATGTAGTTTATCGTCATACCCAGGACGGATATTGTTTACGAAAATCTTGCAAAAATGAAATAATTGTCGGATTTTACTGAAACTTTCAGAACTTATTCACAAACGAATGAAATTATTTTTTAATTATTTTTTAAAGAAAATCTTGGTATATATATATATATATATATATATATATATATATATATATATATATATATATATATATATATATATATGACTGCTTATCGTCTGCTCCTATCAGCACCTCTCGTTCAGGCAAGCCATCTTTTTTTTTTTCTGCTATACCTGTCAACTAATGAGAACCATCGGAGGTAACTGATTTGTTTTGGCTCGACCTTTTGAACTGTAGCTTTCACCGTCTTTCTTATTCTCGTTCATTCGAGCATTTTATTATTTGTTGAGATAAGATTGCATTTCCATTTACTATGTTTGTTCAGACCTTGCACCGTTTTTATCTACATTAACTCTCCGCCACTCTGACCACGGCCATGTCACTCGTCAATGTCTTCTCGTTTTGATTAATAATAATCATAATAATAACAATAGTAATAATAATAATCGCAATAACAACTAAACATTGACGATAATTATAATGAGGCCATAAAAAAAGAAAATCTTGGAAAATAATAATAATAATAATGTTGATTATAATGAAATCATGAAAACGACTGCAAATTCCAGTAACTGTTCAAGAGAAAAAAATAATTTAAATGATCAGGGATTTTGAAATCCAGAAGACTGTTTTTTTACTTTAGTTACAAGGCACAAGAGTCACTCAAGGTAGAGGATTACTGAATCAGATTGTTGTAAGGGAGAGAGAAAGAGGAAGTGAATATTATGAAGATAAGATAAATATCGTTTCAATCTGGACGTAAAAAGGATAAAACCGGTTCCTATACGATCACCGAAGTTAAGCAACGTCGAGTCTGGTTAGTACGTAGATGGGTGACCGCTTGGGAATACCAGGTGCTGTAAGTTTGGATGTGCGGATGGTATAATAGATAATGGCTCGGAATTATTAATCAGAGAGTTCCAATTCCCGTTGGGTTCGTTATATTCACTTACCCTTGAGAAAGGTATGGATCCACCTCTTTTACCTAGCTATGGGTTAATTAGCAAAACTTGTATCACTAAATCATCATTAACCCAAAATCTTACAATCTAAAAATATTTTCTAACTTTAAATAACCCGCAAAGGATTGACAAGTCGTAGAAAATGAATCAGCTACCCAGCAGTTTGAAAGGTTAAAATTGTAGTGATTAGAGAAGCATCCTCTCTGGAGTCACTTGCACAAAGTACCCGTTCTGAGGAAGAAGCTTTCTGAGTGGAAGTGAATCCTTACCAAAGTAACGCGAAGGGAATTATTTACCACCGTGGGTGTGGCATGGAGGGTCCTAGCTGTGAAGGTCTGAGTTGGTGGGAGTAACGAATGTAATTCGTTTCAACATTTGTCATAGTAACAGTGAGTAGTGAAAAGCTAGAAACATTTCGTCTGTGTAATAAGGGTTGTAGGATGGGAAATCATTCATCACACACAAGGCCGTGTAAACGCTTTTGAATTGTGTCAAGGCTGGACAGTGAGAACTGGGCAGCGCCACCCATAGTACTCCATTCTTGGTCTGATCTAACTCTTGTAACTTATGTCAGCAGGAGTCTGGTATTTCTTTGGCGCGATACAAAGAACCAGCCAAGCATCTTTTGGGATGGCACCAACATACAAATTCCATTTGAAGTCTGGAGGGAGTTTCAAACCCAATGGCCGTTCGAGGCAAGGAACCTCATTGAGGATATGACCGCTCATCAGGATTTGTTCAAATTTAGGACCTGTTTGGTGGTGATGAAACGTTACTAATTTACTTTTGGGCGTATTGAATAATACAAGCCAGTCATTTCCTCATTGAGCTCTGAGAATGAAGTCAGAGAAGAAATCAGCTGTCAGGCACTGGTAATCCAGATATTTGGAGCTGCACCCATACACGGTGATATCATCTGCATATATATATATATGCTAAGGTACTGAGAATGTTCTTAGGCAGAATGTTAATATAAACAGAAAAAGGGAAAGACAAAGGAGAGAGACTTTGGCAATGCCGGCATTAATCTCATGTGCCTCAGAGGACTGGCTATTAACAAGAACCTGATCAGAAAGACTTGATAACTGAGAAGACTCTCAGAGATTCCATAGCAATCCAATTCTTACTTCAGGACGTGGGTGATCATGGCTCTCCCCAACTTCCTATCTTTTGCAGTTCTTAGCAACATTTATCTTTGTACCATTCCCTGTTCAGCCATCCATTTATATAAGCTCAATAGGCAGCTTATCTACTGTTTTCTCTCTCTAGGTAGTTGGCGATCATGGCTCTCCACAACTTCCTGTTCTGTGTAGTAAATTTTGTCTTTTTGTTATTTCTCCTTATTCTTTTTCTCCCATCCATCTACACAAGCTCTCTAGGTAGGTTATACACTGTTTTTCTCTGTACCTCTTGCCTCCAATTTGTCCTGTGGGTACCAGATGTTCCAAGTCTTCTTTCCTCAATATGTGTCCCGAAGATATTAACTCTCTCTGATTCTAATTATAAATTTCGTTTTTATTTCTATTTACCTAAAAACCTCCTTGTTACTTACATGCTCTGTCCATGGTATTCGCATCCTCCTCCTGTAGAACCACGTCTGTTGCTTCATGTCGCCTGATCATCTGTAAGAAAATTGTTCATCATTTACTGTCATATATTGATATCACATGGCAGTTAAACACACTCTTCTTTGTTTCTAACGACATTTTCTTGTTTCTTAATAGTTTACTGAACTTTTGGAAAGCATCTTTTGCTATTCCAATGATTTCGGTGACTCATTTTTCTACTTCCCTTGTCACATTTCCCAGGTATTTGAACTTCTCTACTAGTTTGATTTTCAAATCTTCAATTCGCAATTCGCATGTTCTCTTGATAATTGTCTTGCAATTGATAGTTATTCCTTTTTTCTAGCTTTCCTTTACAATCATGCCTAGGAATTCCTGCAGTTTCCTTTCCGCGTCTGCCATCAACACTGGACCATCTGTATGTCCTATTTTGTTAAGATTGTGTCCAACCAAAATAAATCTTGATAGAACTTCTAGTTCTCTTAGGATTACCTCGTCGAATAAATCCGTTGAGAAGACAGATACTTGTCTTGCGACTGTTTCTATTTTGTGTGCTCATTCAAATTCTATCCGTATGAAAGCAGTTTGTTCTCAGTATAAGTTCCGGATTATTCTACCCTGAATCAACCAAGTTGTCCTAGCAGTTGAAATAGGTCTTTGCGCTGTACCGTATCAAATGCTTTTAAGTAGTCTATGTAATATAAAAATACGTCCTTCTGTAATCCATACAGGGTTAAATTGAAAAAAAAAAGATCTGTCACAATGTGGATGTCATTATTGCGACTGTTGTTTTTAAGTAGCCTTTGAGGTTGATAAGGCAGTATACCTACGAACAAAACTTACTCGTTTTGAGTTGATTAGAAAAAACAGAAACACAAAGGAATGAACAAAATAAGATAGAACTGTTTATTATATCTGGAATATTTAGCGTTCAAGGATAATTCCTGAAAGAGTGTGTAAATTTAAGAAATGTTCATAAGTTTCGTATTATTCTAATCATGCAGTTAAGTGCCACACGTGATACACGATTGGGCGATCATGTATCTTTCGATACATGACTGACGAGGCAGAAGATTTTTCCCGCAGTAAGTTGCCATTTCTTTCTGCGGTAGGCTGTTTGCCAACAAAGGCTAAAGGACCCAGTCTGTCCTAATATTTAACCCATAGCAGGGAGGGAAAAGATAGATACATACCTTTCCCAAGGGTATTTGCGTGCAAGTGAATATAACGTTCTCGAATGGAATTCGAACTCGACTCTCCGAGTTCTCATTCCGAGCTGATATCCATTACACCACAACATACATCTATATTATATCTTTCCTGAATAAATCAAGTTTTCCTAACAATTGAAATAGATTTTTGTGCTGTATCTTAAATGATTGAAGTCACATTAAAAGAAAAGGAAAACAGGAAATGAATGTTGTTGAACTCTCTTGTTGGATGAAGAAGTGAGCGAAAAAAAGTGAACGAGTGCCGTGTGTAATGTCGAGGGCCGGCGTTGTGTCCCTAGAAGCAAGGTGATGTGCGCCCTTCTTCGCTCGCGGCGTAGCCCGAAAGAGAGTTACTCCTTTGAAATTCGAGCTATGCATGCTCACATTTATTACGCATATCCAAAAGCTGAAACGAGTAGCTACTGCTAATAAGGATCTTCATGAATGCACGTCTGACCAAAACAAGTTGTATACCTTACTATTTAATCCATACATGAAGGGAGAATATATAGATTCTTACTTTTCCCAAGGGTATCCTTGCGTATCTGTGAACCCAACGACCTCGGCCGGAATTTGCACCCGGCACGCTGATTTTATATTTCGGAGCTGATAACCGATACGCCACACGTACACGCGTAGTCGTTATAGCAGATCATATCTGTCACGTTTTGGTGTCATCAATCATCAGTGAGCCTGCTCTTAAGGGTGGTTGCTTTTGTTTAACGAAACGAAAGAAAAAAATGATTTGTGTTGGATATCAGTGTTCTTAGTAATATTATTATTATTATAGATGGGGCAAGGAATGGTATGTTAATTTTAACAACACCAAAATGAAACTACTCTCTTTTAATCGTCTGAGATGGCTGATGCTAACCTCCAGGAAAGTGACTCGTTGCTCCTTCTCGGACTAAAGTTTTTCGCTGGCATGAAGTGGAAAGATTATATTGAATCAATTGCTAGGTCTGCTATTATGATAACTGGTATAGTTGCTATGTATTTAGAGATTCTTGATAAAATACAAATAACAATCTGCAATGTTATTCATCGTGACATGGCATATCGGCTTCACTGACTTTCCCGCCGCCGTAATGTAGTTTCCCTGTGCCTTTTCTATAAATATTTTCATGGTAATTGCTCTTATGAGCTTTCCTCTTTGGCACCTAGACTTTATGAATTTAAGTGTAGTTGGTAACTGATTTTAAAAGGGACATAAAACCGGCTCATAACTGGGGCAAGGAATGGGTTGCTAATTTTAACGCCTCCAAAACAAAGCTGCTTTCTGTTAATCATCTGAGAGACCACTTCCTGCTTTCCATCAACATGGCTGATGCTAACCACCAGGAGAGTGACTCATTGTGCCTTCTCGGACTAACGTTTTCTGTTGACATGAAGTGGAAAGATTTTATTGAATTAGTTGCTATGTCTGTTGCTATTATAGTTTGTATACTGTGTCGTAATGGACAATTTTTCATGCCATAATCTATCTTACATATTTATAAGTCTACCATTCGTCTATGCTTTGAATATTGCTGCTACATCTGGTTTGGTGCTTCTGCTATGTATTTAGAGATTCTTGATAAAATACAAATAATAATCTGTAATGTTATTCATCATGACATGGCATCTCAGCTTCACTCTTTTCCCCGCCGCCGTAATAATTGTTTGGATAAGCTCTTTACTATGGTACTTAGACTTTATGAATTTAAACCCAGTGCTAGATTGGCGGCAATGTCTCATCATTTTACAGTTGAATTGGCTAGATGTAACCGTAAGTTCTATGCTAATAGTTTCTTCTCTCGCACTTCTCGCTTGTGGAACTCTCTTCCGGTTTCTTGCTTCTTCGTCAACTTTGATCTTCAAAAATTTAAATGCAGCGTCAATCGTTAAAATCTTAATCCCTGATCTTTAATTGTCCTCTCTTAATCGTATTTTTCTCATATTTTCTAACATTCAGTAACCCCTGTCACGTCTTAGTGGCTTTATTACCTTTCTTGGTGTGAAATTATTAAAATAAAGAATACATATATTCAACTAGCAGCATGGCCCGGCGTTGCCCGTGCTCGATTCAAAAATCGTACGACTCATAAAGCAATCGCTATCACTTGACTTAAAATATTTTTGCCCT